GTCCCTGGCCAGATTTAATTCTATCAGGGCTTTCACTTTCCTAACTTTCCTAACTGCTGCTCGGACAATTTCTCTGTATTCCTCCCAGGCTCCCTGTCCTTGCTTCCACCCTCTGTAGGCTTCCTTTTTGTGTTGGAGTTTGTCCAGGAGCTCCTTGTTCTTCCACGCAGGCCTCCTGGCGTTTTTGCCTGACTTCCTCAATCATCCTTTATCATCAGAGAGTGGTTGTGCTAGGCAGGTACGCAAGTGTAATTTTTTGTATTTGACCCACATGTGATACTTGGTAGTTGATTTTTATTGAGCTGCTCCTCACCTGAAATGCTGTAATGTGTTTTCCGCTCTGTTTGAATCACATCTCTGTTGCGTGCTAGGGAAGAGAACAGATACACTGTCAGATAAAAAGACTTCTAAGTGGTTGACCTGTAACGTAACAGGAAGGTCAGTGTTCTTGTAATCTGTGTTTCATATGTAATTTGTTGTTCGATTTCTCAGAACAACTGCCTTACCTGAAGTGCCCGCTGCATACTGTCTTAAAGCTAACGCCGGTGGCTTATGGTAAGTACTGTCAAGTATATATTTAAGTCTAACTATACTGTCTGTGTCATCAGTAAAGTTTGTGAAGCATTTAAATTAAAACGCGTTTTTAATTTATTTTGCTTTAAAAGAGAATTGAACGATTAGGTTTGACACTGTGTGTATGCCTATACAGCTTTGTTAGAATCAATTAATCCTTTGGTTAATATTTGCTTTGCGTTATGCCAGAAAATACGTTTGTATTAGTGAAGGCCTGTAACTGCTAGTGGACAGTTTTCTTTTGTACTCAGTTCATATGCTGTTTCACTAGTTCTTCTGGCAAACCCATGCCATTTACACGTCTGGTAACAGTAAGATCTCAGTTTTTAATTGATGTATTTGAGGGTATTGCTTTTTAGAAGACAGGCAGATTTACATTTATGTAGGTTTAACATCTTAAAAAGGGTGTTTCCCTTACTAAATAACTTCGTTCTCTTTTCCTGAAGTAATTTGTTCGTGGGCCTTCACGCTACTACCTGAACTTACCTTGTTTGCTGTCGGCATGCCTTTGTCAGCAGCTGGTATCAGGGCTTAGCTCAGGGGCTTTAACTGAGATTTGCCGCAAGCGTGTAGAGTGTGGGGTGTGGGTTGCAACACGTTCTTCTTGGCTTTTAGGCTGATTGCTAATTAAGTGTTGTGTGTGTTTCAACCTCAGCTTAACATGTGCCTGCTGTTAATTTTCTTTACGCGATGGCTTAATTACATCTTCTGATACCTAATCACACTTCAGAAGATTATTTATAGACAAAGAGAACTATCTGCACAGCTTACCAGGAAATGGATGGCCAAAAAATGCTAGTTGAGTTATTAATTGGAAATGCAAAGCCGTCTTTGATTATCAGCTTTGAAAAATAGCAGCCTAGACCTGTACTTTGGGGTTTTTTGTTAAGTTTCAAATAAAGTTGAGACAAAGTAAATGGCTGTTACACTGGGAGATCTGTCTGAAGAGATTTTGTCATTTAATTGCAGTGACGTCCTACAGTAAGTAATAACCGCCTGTGCTTTGGTGACACCTGGTGTTCCTAGCCTCGCATGACAAGCTGGAGTTTTGAAAATAGGGATTTAGAACAGTTAAAACTTCTTTCTTTTTTTTTTTTTTTTTTTTTTGACTCAGCTGGCCTCAGCCTGTTTCCACAGAGGTTTTTGGTTTGAGTTTGGGTTTTTTTAGTGGGAAGTTGGGTGGCTGTTTATAAATTTTAAGAGGAGCTGGATGTTTGCAGTGTTTACTGAGACGCTAAATGAGGAAGGAAAAGAAGTGGTATGAAATACTGTCCTTGTCCTTTTGACTTCAGTGAAAGAAATGCTGTGGTTCTCTTTTAAAGTGTTTGATACCCATGTCTGGTTAGCACATTTTAGTCGACCTAGTTTTTGGAGTTTGACCATCTGAGGGCTGTGTAAACTATTTATGCACTAATGTTCTATAGCATTATTTCAAGTTGATGTGTCGCTTGGGTCCAGTGAGGCAGGATGCAGGATCAAACGTGATGTGTTTAATACCTCCCAGCTAATCCTGTCCTGGGGTGGTACCTCCCTTAGGGGTTTGCTCTTCCTGGCGCTCCCACCCTGCGCGTCTGATCTTTAGTAGGGGAACATCTGTTACGGCCTGACAGTTGGATTAGGATTAATTAGACTTTTACCCAGCGATCCAGTATAGCGGTGGTCTGTGTGGGAGCACGGAGGAAAGAGAAACTGCATCTTGCCGTAGGGATGAACTTGCACATCGGTGATTAAAAATGAGCTGGGAATATGCACGTTGTAATTACTGTGGAGTAACTCGTGTCCCTTTAGTTTATATTTAAAGCTTTCCATACGGTATTTCTTTCAGGTCTCAAACTCAGCTAGCGGTGAGGACTGAGAGGTCTCTGTGGAAGCGCGTCTGTTGTGTAACCGGTCCTTAGTAACGGGCAGCATGGGGGACCAGAGCTTGCTTTTGCTTGGTGTCAGGGGTGGCGATGGATCTGTGAACAGACTGATGACTAGGGTACTCGTCCAGTGGGAGATGTGTGCTTTTCCCCCTTAAAATCTGTCCTCTTGTTCACCGTTTCTCTCAGCGCTGGCCCTCCTGCAGTGTTTGGTCACAGTGTTCATGACAAGTGGGGTTTCTCAGAATAGGCTTCCCTGAGGAAAGGCAAATATTTGCTGTACTAATTTTTTTTTTTTTTTTTAAAGTGCAGTGGCTTTCGAAGAAAAGGCTAAAGTCACCTTTTTCTGTCAGGTAGTAATTCTATGGAGTGTGTTACGGCTTTAGGAAATAAGTGAGCAGAAAAATCTGTATTTGTGATAGAAGGTGGACTCTGGTATGCCAGAGGAATTTGACTATTAATGAATGTTGTGTTGTGTAGGGTAGTGGTAGCTTATAAAAGTCATGTTTGTGTGAGATAAGGCAGTGTTTGGCAATCTGATATTACTTAAAATGGCGTGGCCACAGTGTATTGAGTAATTATAATTCTCTAGGTGGGTCAGTTTATACTACCTGAGTAATAGTTGTCTCTTCCAACTTCTTAACTTTTTTTGCTTCTCTGGAGTTTTCCATTTTTGGGTGAAAAGGTGAAGTTCCTTTTCAGAAGTCAACTTTAAAGTTCCATGTAGCTGGGGGATAAAACTGTTTTGCACACGTAGCGGAATGGCGGTTGCTAACAACACGCAGCGTACCTTCTCATAATCGTTTTCATGTTTTAAAAAATGCGAGCAGCATTTATCTTCTGTATTACAATGAAATTCTAAGAAGTCCAGGATGTTCAAAAACCAAAAAAGTTACAAATAAGAACTTTCTGACTGAATGTTGTTGTTCATGTATGTTTAAAAATGAGAATTTGTTTAAAAGAAAATGATGATAAAGCTAAGGTGAGAATAGGAGATGGATTATCGGATCGAGAAAAACGTTCATCCTGGTAGCATAGATTCATTTGAATAGCTTTAGCTATTCAGAATTTGGGAAGTTCTAGTATAAATCAGAAGGGGAAAGTGATTAGCCTTCACCAACTCAAAATTAGATCGCATCTTTACTACAACTTCAGTTTTAAAGCAGACCAATTCTAAAAATGTGTTTTCTATCAACAGGATGTAAAGTAGAATCTATATTCCTGAATGTTGAAGCTGTAAACACACACAGAGATAAACCCGAGGTAAGAATGTTTTTCAAATTGGAGAACTCGACGTAATGTACTATTCGTGAGCTGATTTCCATTGTCCTTGTGGTTAGAAATGATTTGATAACTCAGCTGAGCGCATTTAATTTTACATATCAAGCTTTACTACCGGTTTGCTGTTGGGGGGCGGGGGGGAATCCTTTTTATTGAGCAGATTTATCTTACATAGGAGCCTTAGCGGCTGGAGTAGTTTATCTTCAAAAAATGAATGAGAATTTGAAGATACGGTATCAGTCTAAAAACTGTATGAAGTTCTTCCAGGCGTTGTCATTCAGCAGAAGTAGCGTGTAGTCAAAAAATACGTTATGAATGCCACGCTTATTTTGGAGAGAGTAAATAATGAAATCTTCAGCTTTTTCATCACTGCGATCATTGCTGTATCAAAAAGAGGAATTGATGATGCCACCTGTGTTTTAAGCCAAAGCTGGAGAGGAAGACTAGATCTCGGGATACAGCAGAACAACTGGGGAAAAGGAAATTGAGTGTCTTTGTAAAATGTAAGTGGAGGTGAGATGTCAGACCACGGCAGCTTCGGACTCTCCCTGTGTTGGGCACGTGGTTCTGTGTGCTCCTAAGTGGTGACATGAGCTTAGGTTGATTCTGCTGCTTGCGCAAAGCTCTTCCATTGCCGCATTAAGAAAGTTACGTAAAATGTGTCGTGATAAAAAAGTTTCTGGTTCCCTTGCAGATCCTCATGCTAACGCTACTAGGTATGGCGCTGATGCCTTGCTGAGGTTATGAGCCATGCCGACTGGTGAATTAAAAGTCAGTTTGATACTGTGAGAGAAACAAGGGCTGGTGGTGGTGGTTTGCAGAACAATGGTTTACGGTGAAAAGGAATAAATGTGGGTTTATGTGCGTATTCAATAAGGCATGTGACGCAAAATGCCTTCCTTACATGAGGGTACACATTTGTGGCAGTTGTGCAGCATTCATGTCGGGAGGGTCTGCAAAGAAGTTTTGTTTCAACGACTTGGGTATTCCGAGTTCTGAAAACACTGACTTGTCGTCGTTCATAGCCAAGGCATTTTCTGTTAGATAGTCGTATTGCGTATTTCCTCTCTCTTCCCCTTTCTCCTTTGTCGTTCTGCTTTACCGCTTTTGTCTCTCAGTTTGGTTTGTTAGGTTTAGGAAATCCATTCTGTTTTCACAGTGCCTAACAGGTGTTGGAGAAGCACGGTGAAAATAGACGAGGATGGCTTAGAGCAGGTGTTAGGTTATTCGTGTTAAATAACGTAGATCAACTGAACATCTTTAGTTTGGCTGTTAAAATACCGGTGCTGAATTTACCGCTTGCTAAAGCGTCTTGGGAATTGCTGTTGGAAATATCACTTCTCTAACTGAAGATGTTTATTTCGGGGCGGGGGAAAGCTCTGCCTGAATCGCCAAGGGACTCTTACCATGTCTAGCAAACGCTGTGGCCATACTGACATTGGTGTTGGGTGGTTGGATTTCAGGTGCATGTGGAGGATCGTGCGGACAGTTGCATCGCAGTGGACACAAAGCTCTTTGTTTAGAACAGAAATAAATTGAGTTAATGAATTTTTAAAAAGAAAAAAGGAGCAGAGACATTTTTATTAAAACAAACCAAACACTCTTCTCCCTCTGCCCCCAGAGAAACCCGGACCAATGAAGTGTGGGTGATGTTATGCTGTTCATTTAGTAGGGCTGAATGAAGGACTAAGTGGATCCTGTCGCATTTAAATGCTGCTCAGAGGACTATGAAAATTTGAAAAGCTTTCATTTACGTCACCTACGAAAATGTTAATTATTTCTGTAGAATGAAATCTTGAAATAGTCTATTGAAGTCAAAGCATTTAATTAAATTCAGTGTCACGGATAACAACATTGTTAAACAATGAAACTGTTTGATTAAGAAGTGCTCAGTGTGCTGTTCTGTGCCCCCACAAGTAACTTGGAGTCCGTGTTTCAGAACAGCGCACGCCTTTCTGGCTTCAGCTGAAAGCATCTGTTTTCACACTGCAGAAATGCAGGCAAAGCACTAGACTGTTTGTTTATAGTATGTGTAAAATTCATTGTCTGATGATGGCTTGTCTGAAGTGGATTGAAGCCTTGTGTTTGTCAGCATTGTAGCGGCTTAAGTTCCTGACCTTTTCGCATGAAGGAGTCTATAGTCTTTTTACTGAAAATAATTCAGGGGAATTACTTTCGCTGTTGCTTGGGGTCCCTTCTTTGGGCCAGAAGACAAGCACTGGGGTAAAATGTCCGCTTTGCACCTCTGTCTTAGTGAATGACAGATAGGGAGATTGCTTATAGCAAGAAACACAAATCCCCTTTGATTTTGTGGGGGACGGGGAGAGGGAGATGTTACTGAAAGCTGAGTTTGCTTACCACAGTGTAAAACAAGTAAGACTCATGAAGCCCGTCAACACGAAGTTTGAAGAATTGGCAATGATTTGGCCTAAAATGGGCCAAATCTTAGATCAAGATCCTGGAAGGAGCTTCAGAACAGTTAATCATAGTCTGCTTTCTTGGTAGAAGGAAGAACACTAATTGCACAGTCTTGGGGGCTTGCGTGAGGTGGTACCACGGCAGGCGTGATTCCCGAGCCTGGTTCCGCACGGCTGCACTCGAAACTGTGCTTCCTAGTGCGAGTGTCTGGCTGCGCTGGTGTTGCGGTTTCGTTTGGGTTTGAATAATTTGCTGCATTGAATATCATTTTTTTGTGGTTGTGGTTTTTTTTTTTCCCTCCAGCCTCTGCAAAATGGGGTGAGATCTAGTTGGTGTGATCAGTCTTGAATGGTTAAGGTGTCTGGGAAGCGATTTTTCTGTTTTGTCGGGGTAGTACATTGCCTATAACACGAACGAATGTTCAAGTCTTCCCTTGAGAAAGAAGTATATGGCGTAGTTAGTTCAGCAAAGCCCTGAAAGTTGCTTAATGGATAGATGTGTATGTGCTGAAGCACGTGTTTAAGTGGATTCCTGCTTGGGCCTGTAAAAGACTTTGTGCTAAACATGAACGACTTGAGCTTTTGGAAATACTATCGGTGTGGGATCAGCGATTACTGTAAATACGTTTTCCTGCTGTCTAGTTCTGCGACACCAACCAGTTGGCAGTCTGCTGCGTTCTCAGGGTATGGGGGGTTAGAAAAATCTCTGCTTTTAAATAAATGCAGCTGTGTATTTGTGAAGGAATCTGACTGGTATTTTTTTGTTGCTCTTACTGCTGCATGATAAATATTCTCCTCTGTATTTTTATTATCATACAGAATGTAGACATTTCCAGACCTCCCGAGGACGCTCTTGTAACAGTCCCTGCTCATCAGTGAATCCTGTGTGCTGATCAACTATCGAACTCGGGGTGCTGTTTTCATCCTACTACTTCAAAATAAATTGAAAAACTAATCATTCCAATCACTTTGAAATAAAAAAGCCCCACCCAAACCCAGCAACTTAAAACCCAAACCAAACGTTTGTACAGCGCATGACTTGAAAAAAATTGTCGAAGCACAATAAAACTGTATTGCACTGGTTACTTTACTGTGGATGAGTTATCAAACATTGATCGGCTGTCAGTGGAATGCTGTTTTTGTAAATTGCTGTAATTTAAAGATCCTGGAGCATTAAGTTTTATTGTAGCAGCCAGCAATCATTTAACGTTAGTTGCAGTGTGTTTGTTTATGGAAGCCATGAAACACAACATCCTGGGGGAGATAAGAAAAAGTTGAAGTTTGTTTTCTAGGCACCAGCATTAGCTATTTCAGTGCCCTTGGGAGCGATTGGACTGCTGTGTAGCATGAAATAACAACCCATAGTTACTGTAAAACCTTAATCCTGCTGATCCATAGCGCTAGTGCTCTAGATGTGCTAATTAACGATGTGCTGTTTGAAGAGGGTAGCAAGTTTTCACTTAGTTCAGAACAATTATTCAAGGTACAGGAATGTGTATAAATGTTTTAGTGTATAAATATACGACTTTTCTTAACAGCTGTTGTGCATTAACTAGGCTTTCGGGTTTGCCTGCTGGTGGAAGCGATTATAAATTTCCTCTTTTCCTGCTTCTCGTACCGACGCGGGTGATCGACGAGCGTTTACGGCTCTGCTCCGTATGTTTTGTGCCCAGATTTTATCTAGGCTAGAATAAGCAGTGTTGACCATTTCAGAATGTGGAAGCAGAGTTAGCCTGATTCTTTCGTAGCTGGGTTGTGACTTGCCTTGAAAGGGATGGAAATGGGGGGGTGGGGTGTTCTTCCCTCCGGTAGGCACGGGATCTCAAACCAGCAGGGTGTGCGTCCTAAACTGAATTGCAGCAAAACCTTTCACAGGCTGGAGAGGACTGCAGCTTGTTTGAGATGTGGTGCCATCCCTTGGCTCCTTTCTCCGTGAGGTTACGGTGGGCAAAACAAGGCAGTGGGAAGCATCTGTGCCATTGAAGCAGCTTTGTTTGGGTAGCATCGAGTCTGGGAAGGGTAGAAAATCACCGAGTCCTGGAACTGTTTTCTGAGGGGGTCTTCCAGTCTTGAAAGTAAGCAGCAAGAGTGGCGTGCTGTGGAAAGCTTTTATCTGTTAGGTTTCTCAGGCAGTACGTTTTACCAAAACCTTGATTTTGGAAAAAAAAGTGTTACATATCTGCACTTCTAAAATTACACCGAAGTTTTCAGAGGTTTATAGTAATCAGGAACATCTGATACAACCAAATAACCTCCTGGCCAGAGAGCCTCCCGCTGCACTGCTTGGTATTTAGTTTAACCAGTGTCCCAGGATGGGCTGGGACGTGGGGGAACCTGGATTATTTTCCTCTCTCTGTCGTGACCGTGACGTGGGAGTGTTTTGTCACTTTTCAGTGTTTAATTGCCCCAGCCTCTTGGCATGTGCTTTGCCATGAAAAATGAGGGGGGGGGCGGGCCCTGCCATACCTGCTTGCACATTAATTAGCGAGTCCGGTTGCTTCTACCTGACAGTTGAGGTGATGTCCCTGAGGGGTCGCAGGGGCACTGGCCATAGTCGGGTACTGAGAAACTGCACCGAGATGGCTCGGAGTGCTGTCACCTCCGCGGGCCACGACTAAGGAAGTACCGTGCAAATTTAAACATAAACGCATTACGTTTTTGATGGAGCCAAAATTTGCGCAGGCATCTGCTGTGGAAAAACTGAGTTTTGCTGCTTGAAAAAGGATGGCTTGGGCCGTTGGAGGAAACGGAGGGGGAGGATGGAAGGGGCAGGAACTTGGCCGGGGAGGAAAGCCGGGCTTGCCTGTTCTGCGGAGGGAGGGGAAGTGGCAGAAGCGCCCAGGACCCTCCGTCCCTGCCAGCTGCTGCCAGCCCGATTTCCTGGGGCTGCGGCTGCGTGTTGTTCTCTTCCTCGAGCATAAAGCTCGTTGTGCTGATGTGTGCAACGGAGTGAAGTGGATATTTAAAAGCAGTTTTGTTCTCTGAGGGGTCTCCTCTTACAACAGGATTGCTTAATAGTCTTCTCTGGCTTATTTTCTCAGTGAAAGAAGGGCCTGAAGCTGGGCGGGAAGCAGCAGTGACAGTTTGTGGCACAGCTTGCCGAGGGAAAGCTGGCTGATAAAGAGTACTGGATTGTTTGTGTTGTGCTGTTTATTTCTCTATTTGTGCCTGTGCCAGGGCCCTTATTAACTGCATCTTCTTGGGCTGTCTTCGTGGCTCCTGTGCCCTTCAGAGCCCTCTTCCCTAGAGGAGCCTTCCTGCGAAATCTTCCCGTTTTGCTCTGAAGATTGCATGTAGCTAATAAAAATAAAACCGAAATGGCAGACTCCATCTTGTGTGGAAGCCCATAGCACTTTGTTTTGGGGGGAGGCTCTGTTCTGTAGGAAAAAAAAATGTACAAAGCAGCTGGGAGAGTATACTGAGGAGAAGAGGAACAGTGGTGTAAGAGTGTATTTGAGTTAATATGTGTGTTTTTAGTCCAGAGGGGTCTGGGTGAGATGGACCCTTGTGCAAGGCAGAATGCAAGGCTCCTGCCCCGGCGAGCGCTGAGCCTCCTCGGGGAGCGGGCTCCAGAAGCAAGCGAGCCCCTGCCCGGGCTGACCGAGGGAGTGCCCATACGCCTTGGTAGAAATAGTATTTTAAAAAAAAGGTGTGTGTGTTTTATTCCCACTCCTGTGTTTCCCGGGCTCTCCAGACCGTGTTGCCGCTGGGGCGTAGCAGTGGTAGTGCTGTTCCCAGGACGGTAGTTTTGTGCGGGTGTGCTTTGGTAAGGCAGTGCTAAGCAGTTGCAGGGACACCTTTTGGTCCCAAAAGTAAGGCTACAACCTCGGTCGTCTTCCTAAGAAGCAGCACTGTTCTCGTTGCATGACTCTCCTCTCTCGATGCCCATGGTCATTCTGGAAGCAGGTATAATCCCAGCTGCCGTAATCTAATCTAATGTGATCCCTGTGAGTAGGAATCCATTTACCATTAACGAGGGTATTAGTCCCTTTCTAAGCCTCAGTTCATCTGGTCTTGCAGTTAGGTATTCTGTTTGTCTAATAAGCCCCAGGGTGTGTTTCCTAGGGTTTATCCCAGACAGTTTTCTTCCTTCAGTGTGACAGTTCAGTGTGCTTCGCTTCTACAGCCTTTTCCCCTTCCCATTTACTCAGAAAGACTTCTTGCTTTCAACTTTGTTGACTGCGTATCGATATTCCCTCTTGGCTCTGTCTGAGTTGCTGAGATGCTGTTTTCATCTGATACTCATTGCCTTAAATAAGCTGTATCTTCTGCCTTGTCTTGACCACCTTGTTTCCTTTGAGATTCGTGTTACAGCCGTCTAGTGCTTGCTGCTTGTGGACTAATTTCCAGTACCTCTGGATTCCTGCATATTGATGCTCCATTTCATGCTCCATTTAATTTTCTTTGAATCAACAGCAGATGCTCAGCTTAAAAGATCTTAGCCGATATTCTTGGAGTGCCTGTGGAGACATCTCCACAGTCCCAAGGAATTTCTGGGTACGTTGCATCAGTTGCTGAGAAAAATACTAACAAATGAAACAAAACAAGTGCCAGCATGTTTTGGGTTTTTTTGTTGTTTGGTGTTTTGTTTTTTTTCCTTGTAGTCATGCAGCGTGTGACTTGTTTTGCCAAGTCCTCACGTTCTTGGGCAGATGCCGGAGCTTTCTCTGTTTCCTTTGCTGCGGAAGAGATGCTCCCTGTAGAAGCTTCTTTCTGAAACAGGATTGTTGCTTTTCCTTCCTTCAAAGGGAGAAGTCGGAGAGGGGGGTGGGCGGTGTGCTGGTGGGTGCAGAGACTTCCAGGACTTGGGCGTCTGTGCCCGGCAGCGTTCATGTGTGTCTTCTCAGAAACCTTGGTGTGGTGTGTTTGTGGTGGAAAACAGGGTGATCTGCCCAAGGGCTTGAAGGCTGACGAGAAAGGAGAGGGCTGACATTAATGTAGGAGAATTGGTAAGGGCAGAAGTGATGCTGGCACGCTTCAACCCCCAAATCAAATCTGGTGCTGCTTGTTTATCTCCTGTTTTCATAAGAAATGGCTGAAAATCCTAGAAGCTGGGCTTGGGGAGGGGAGTGACTTGCTTTTCAAGTTGATGCATTTTGACTGGTGGAGTTGTGTGTATGCTGTCTGAGAGCGCGTGCCGAGACCCCCCTCGCTGTGTGCTAGTGGGGCTCTCCTTTTCCTTGAGTTGGACTGAAGAGACTTGTTTTGAAAGTCAGCTCTGATAAATGTGGTTATAAAACCACTGAAACATTATCTGGCATCAGTGTGACATGTGCCAGCATGCCCGTGTATCCTGAAGTGCATTTAAACTTTTATGATACCAGCTCTTTTAGGGAGTTACTCAGAGTCCTTCCAGTGACTTAGCTGCTTACAGACAGGATCAGCATTAGTTTTATAGCTGTTGGCGTTAAGGAGTCATTTCCTGCAGCGTGCTCGAAACAAGGAGAGAAGGGCTTCCCTCCCGCCAGGTTTTATCAATTCTTGTGTGGTTTATGACGTTTGCTGCGTGGTTTTGTTTTTTCTTATACTATATGCATGTCTGAAAGGCTAGAAGAGATAGTGGATTAGAAAAATGTGGTTAAAAACAGTGGTTAAAGAAAGAATAAATCTTAAAAAAAAAAAAAAAGCCACCAACATTGTGACCTGCGTATGGTGTGCGGAGACCAATTGTCCTACCAGCCCCGCTGTAACGTGTGTCCGAGCGATGTGTTTCCCTGGCAGCAGAGAGCCTGCGTTTCGGTATCTGAGGGACTTGGGCTCTGCGAAGCGCGTAGTGGCTGGGACGAGGTCTAAGCCTGGCTTCTGACTGCTGTTCACGGGCTGGGACCTTTCCCTGTGTTTCACAAAACATTTTGAGGAAATAAGCCTTAAATCTTGCTCATCTTTTGCCCTGCGTAACAGCTGTGTGTTAAGCAAAACTACGGCTGACCACGAGACCCTTGCTTTAAAATCTTCTTTTGTCTTTAAATTTGCAGAACGTAGGTGTGGATCGGTCAAGAGAAGAAGCGTTGAGGACAGTACCTAACCACCTATAGCTCCGGTTCCCGGGGGCGGCAGCCCTTCCTCCGGCACAAGAGCGTTAAGTAGCAGCTCAGGTCTAGGAGAACAGAGAAGGCGTCGCTGAGTGCCGAGCGAGTTGGAACGAACGCGCCTCCCCTTCACTTTTAAGACATTTCGAATGTGATTCAGCTTCTTTGGAGAAAACCTGTAGTTCTGGATAACTCCCAGTGCCGAAAGGTATCAGTAAAAAGATTCATGGGAAGCAGAATAGAGTTGGGTTTAGATTTTTTTCGTATGTAAATTTGTGCAGTTTTGGTGGTTTTTATTGTTCATCTGTGGATACTGCGAGATGGTTAATTGCCCGTGTCAATTTTACTGTCAGATTTTAACTAGATTTTACTTTCTTTTTTAAGTGTTTTTCTAAGAGTTCCTCTTATTTTTACTGTGAATGATTGCCTAGAATTACATGGAGATTTTTTTGATGGAGTATTTAACATACGTGGAATTCTACATTTTGAGCATTGGAGGCTTCATGTTGCAAAACGACTTCAAACGGGAAAGCCTGTCAGCTCCGACAGCTTTTCGGGTGTTTCAAAAATCTTATTGGTTTGCCAACCACAACTTAGATTTTTCTGAAACTGGGGAGGCTTTCCCCTTGGGAAACAAAACCATTCACGCTAGATTCGCTACCTGAAAGATTCTGCTGTTTTAGCAAGATCTTAATGTCTTCCAGGGGCCAGCTGTATTTTGGAGGGCAGCGGAAGACAGAGTATTAAGTGGGGGATGTGAGTGTGAGTATAGCTAGCAGCAGCCCGGGTAATGAGAGAGAGCGAGCGCGAGTCGTCCTTTCTGCTGCAGTTACAGGAGGGGATGAGCAGCTTTTTTGAGACTGGAAGGGAGGGGAAAAGGATTCAGACTGCCAAGGGCTGGAGAAGCTGCTTGTCTTATTAGTGCTGTGGTAATCTATTTTTTTTTTTAGGCAATTTTTGGAATGAATTTCAACATAAAAGTATATGTTTCTCTTTTATAGCCACAATTAATACGTACGTCAGGAAACAGTACAGAAAGGTTAGGTGGAGTTTAACCCTTCTAACAGCTCATGCAAGAAAAACACCAGGTAAACTCTGAAATTATTTTTAACATGGCACATCTGCCTTGGGGTTTTTTCTGTTGTTTTTAAGCATCTTCCACTGTCCCAGTTCTTCGCTGCTCTTTCATACCTTGTGAAACTCCAGTGCTAAAAATGGAATGTTCTATGTCTGTTGAGGCCACGACCTTTTAACTGTACTAAATCAATGTGTATTTCGTACGTGTGTCACCAGACAACTGAAGCGAGCTGCCAGCACTGCTGCTGGCTCTTAGTTTTGAAATGAGGAATATTCTTTGGTAGGGGGACTGTGTTTTTTCTAAGGACTTCAACTGATCGAGCTCTTACCAGGTATATTGTTGGGGTTTTTTTTTGTTTTGTTGTTTGGGGTTTTTTTTCTTTTTCTCAATTCCTGTGTGAAACGCCGGGCCCTCATAACGTAGTTTTGCAGGCAAGGGCTAAGTTGTCTTTTGTTTGTGCAGGGTTTCTAAAATAACGTGCTGCTGTTGTGATTTGTTTTAATAAGCTGATTTCAGCAATATATTCAGCTCTGGAAGTAAGCCATACCGTATCGCTGGGTTCGGTTTCAGAAGAGGGATGCATAGGGTACGGAGTGACCAGAAACACTTGCTTTCAAGCGCTGCTGTCTAAAGCTTTGTGTGTGCGATCCATGCGTTCGGTAACGCCCATTTCAGATCTTCATTCCTTCAGCTGTGTCCGTAGTTTTTGTGTGAGGAGAGAGACCACACAGCGCTGCTCAGAGAAGTTAATTTATTGATGCGTAGTTAACAAGGCCACCTTCGTGGCAAAAATGTAGAAGTAATTTCCCCTTCCGATTTGACGTGTGTTCAGCGTGGGAAAGCCGGGCTGTGCTCCAGGCAGCCCTCGCTCCTCCGGACCTCCGCCGTCCAGCCGCGACCAGGAGTTGTTAAACAGTTTTTAAATCAAGAAAGTCAGAGTTTACCTGTACCTACAGAGGGCAAATCCCAGGAGACCGTATTAGAAAAGCGGGGTTTTACCGGCAGACTGCGGTACTTCTTGAGCTCGGACCCGGTTGAAGAGGTGTGGTGGGAGGAAAGGTTTCCTGTAGCGAGGGCTGAGCCGAGGGCTGCTTCTCTTCGCTGGCAGGCATGGCTTGAGGTGTCTCCCCTCTCTCCCTTTCGTTGTTTTACCTCTCTCAACTTTCAGAGGTGCTGTAAAATTCCTCGAGGCTAAATGTTTTATGTATAGTAGGTATTTTTATAGCCTGCTTTTGAATATACTGTGATGAGTGTTTTACTAAGTGGGTGTTCAGTAAAAAGAATTGTATACAAGTGTAAATAAACTGTTATGCTGATACTTGAAGAGAAAAAAAAAAAGTTGTCTGTTCTACTTTAGGAAGGTACTAAATCACTGACTGCATCCGACCCCTTCTAGCTGGTGGGAGCAAGTGTAGACAACGAATGTAGATTTGAAGGGAGTGATCGGTTCTCCCCGGGGCGTAACCACCTTTCTGGAAAGGCACTGTCAAGAATTGCGTATTATTGTCACTGTCTAAAAGCTGCGTATGTCCCCCCCCCTCCTGATGGAACTGTCACTGACAGAGGAGGTAAAAACCCTCGTCCTGACCTTGTGTATTCATACCTGTGTTTATTTTACCGCCTTCTGGCTGTTAATGCACTTGCTAGCTCAGATGCAGTCTCTCAAATGGGATTAACCTGTCTTTCCTTCGTCGTAGTCTTTCAGACAAATGTAATCATTTGACCTTTGATCCAAGTAATAAAGATCAAATGTGACAGTCTGTGCTGATGTGTGTTTCTTTCCGTGTCCGTTTACAGTAGCTGAAGTGCCAGGTGAGTGTTCCTGCAGGTCAGCAGGTTTCCACAGCTTTCAGAAGCGTGGCAATTACAGCTTGCTTAAGAGAGCTTATAGATAAGCATAAGAATTAAGTTAATTTACTCCATTGGTTGCTTTACTCTGACAATTATAATTTAAGTAACAAATTTAGTAACCGAGGAAGAAGTTGGAAGAACTGATTAAATAAATATGTCAAGATTTGCACGCCATGGAGGAGAAAGGTAAGACTTAATTTTACCCGCTTATTGGTGGTTTAAGATCTGATTCACTCCCAAAGCTACACTGTTCTTACATTGTCTTCCAACTGCTGCTCTTTTCTGAGAAAGCTGAAAACCAACAGCAAAATGCTGCCTTCTGGGCAAATTTGCACGTGTAAGTTAGGTAGATTACATGTAGTTCTGAAGGGTAAGGACAAAATTAATTAGTGCTTTGTGGTTTAGAGTTACGTACTCAAATGTTCATGTCTTGTCGATCACTGTATACTCTTGGGTGATAATCTCTGGCATCCTCTCTACTAAGTGGAAGGAGTGTTTTCTTCATTTTTAACTCTGCTGTGTATTTCTGTTTATGTGGGAGGCAACTTTCTTTGTTTGTTTTAGAGTTTTTAGGCTACTTCCTGGACAAAATTCTTTAATAAATACCTCCATCTCGCTGTAGCGTGAGGGTGGCCTAGACGGCGATGCGTGAGCCAACCTCTGTTTGTGGCCGCCAGGCGGCCCTCGGGCACAGCACTTCAGCAGAGGAGGTCCCCGAAGCTCTGTGGCCGCCGGAGCTTTCATTTCTGGCTGCTGTAAGGAGCCAACGTCTGTGGCAGGGGCAGTTCCCTGTTCAGGTGGCGGTTAACATACTGCCCACGGCCAAACAGTACCGTGCTGCTGCTGAGGAGGAATATAGTAACTGCTCTGCGGAAGAAAGGCGTCTCTGCCCAGGTGTCGCGGGTGCAGTCGGGCTGTTAGAAGGTGCGCTTGTGGCAGCAGGAGATGCTCCAGGTCAGTCAGTCAAATACCAGCTGAAAGAGTTGCTGTGTGAAGACCAAGGTCCCTCTTGAGCAGGTTTGGCACCCGTTACCCCAGAGCGAAGCAGGTAAGTGTAGTGAGCAAACGTTCCCACAAGCAACAATTACTACTTCTTGTAATTCATTGCAGCTTCTTGCTGTCCAAATACCCAGTGCTGCTGGCAAACACTTTTGTAACAACTTCTATAGAAAAGCACTTCTGCATCCAGCACTCACCTTTGAAAGCAGGATAGCTTTCTGGTGAAAAGTGGCAAAACAGAAATGACTTAGTAGGTTACTTGAAGGGGAAAAAAAAACCCAAGTTTGCTGCTCTCCCTGGCAGCAACTCGCAGCGTACCGTTTGTTCCCCCTCTGAGAGGGGTTTGCGTACGTGTGTGCGGTGGTAACTAGGCAAACCCAGTCTGTTTGGAAATGCCAACTGTGTTCTGACTATTCCAGCCTCAGTCTGCTGTACACTTAGGTGACGTCCAAGTCTAACTGGCATTACTTGTATTAATGCCAGTATTAAGCTAGAGCTGTTCTTTAGAAGAACAAAGGCAGCACTTTTTTTTGAGTCTCTATGAAGTCTTACCGGGGGCAGTGGTGGTGGCGATAGCTTTCTCCTGCTCTTTCA